CAGCTTACTCACCATCTTGGATTCCCTGACAGGAGATGTGTCCCTCCCTTAGCCCACGGGAAGCATCATTAGTGCCTGAAAGGAGAAATATCCCTGAGGACAGGCAGAGACAAAGTGGGGATGCAGGACTACCATCTCCAGCCCTGGAAACTGCTCTAGAACTTGGCCAAAGGTCAAATAAGACTGGATCTTCAGCAGCACCGCACTCTGGGAGGTATGTTTCACAGGTCTAATGGCCACAAACCTTGGCCAGCCTATCCCACTGCTGGGATAGCCACACTGGGATTTCCTGCACTTAGGAAGAGCAGCATTCCAAACACTTACGATAGCTGAGACAAACCTGGGCTTAAAGTGTCATCTAGAACTGAAAAGGAGGCAGTTGCCTGGCAGTAAAGAATCTCTAAGAAAATATATCCAATAAAAAACAAAAGAAGCCAGAGAGAAAAGACAAAAATAAATAAAATAATAATAAATAAATAAGACCAAATTAATCTTGCAATGAAAAGGCACAGACATACATCCACAAGTAATAACAACAAACAGGGAACCATGAGTCCTCCAGGCAGACAAAGCAAGGATCCAGCAACCGACCCTAATGAAACAGCAATAGGTGAGCTCTTCAACCAAGAACTAAAAATAATAACTTTAAAGAAACATGGTTATCTCCCAGATAACACAAGAAAGCAATCTAGAAACTTATTACAGAAATTTAACCAAGAGTGAAATAATCTTTAAAAATTAAATAAATCTTGAAACTGAAAAATACATTTGTTGAAGTGAAAAATTCATTAGAACTCTCAACAACAGAAAGGATCAAGCAGAGGAAAGAATCAGTGAGCTCAAATGCAGACTATTTGAAAATACATGGAGAAGAAAAATAAAAAAGAATTACAAGCAAGAAAGATCACCTAAAAATATAGAAAATTACCTCAAAATCCTAAATCTAAGAATTATTGGCGTTTAAGAAGGAGGTCAGCAATAACAAAGAGTAGAAAGCTTATTCAAGGAAATAACAGAAAACTTTCCAAAACTTGAGAAAAAGATAAATATCCAGGTACAGGAAGGTCAGAGAACACGACACAGATTTGACTTAGTTAAGACTACTCCAAGGTATATGATAATCAGACTCCCAAAGGTCAAGGATAAAGAAGAATCCTAAAAGCAGCAAGTGAAAAGATGCAAATAACTTATAAAAAAGGTCCAATTCCTCTGGCAACAGACTTCTCAGTGGAAACCATACATGCCAGGAGGAAACAGAACAACATTCTCAAAGTGCTGAAATGGAAAAAAATATTGCCAGCTAACAATATTGTTTCCAGCAAAATTATCCTTCAAATATAAAAGACAGATAAGTCTTTCCCAGACAAGCAAAAGTGGAGATAATTCACTACCACAAGATCCATCTTACAGTAAATGCTAAAGGAAATTCTTCAATCTAAAAGAAAAAGACACTAATGTGTTTTAAAAATTGGAAGTTATAAAACCCACTGGTAAAATGAAGTAAAAGGACAAACCTAGAATACTATAATAATTGTTGTATAAAATCCACTCATAAATCTAGTATGAAGTCCAAAAGACAAATCTAGCAAAAACAATAATAGCTAGATTGACTTGTTAAAAGATTGATACTGTTCAAAAAAAAATTACAAATGGCCAATAAATATATGAAAAATGCTCATAGGAGACATGTCAATCAAAACTACAATGAAATGTCATATGACCCCAGTTAAAATGGCTTTTATCAAAAAGACAGGCAACAATAGATGCTGATGAGGATATAAAGAAAGAGAAACCTTTATACATTATTGGTGGGAATGTAAATTAGTACAGCCATTATTCAGAACAGTATGAAGTTTCCTCAAAATTTTGAAAAACAGAACTACCAGATGACCCAGTAATTCCACTACTGGATATCTTTAAAAAAGGAAATGAATATATCAAAAAGACATCTGCATTTCCATCTTTATTGCAGCACTATTCACAATAGACAAAATATGGAATCAACATATGTGCCCATCAACAGATGAGTTAAAAAAATGTAATATATATTATACACAATGGAATATAATTCTGCCATAAAAAAGAATAAAATCCTGTCATTTGTAACAACATGACTAGAACTGGATGGAGGTCATTAAGTGAAATAAGCCAAGCACAGAAAGATAAATATTGTATGTTCTCATTCATATGTGAAAGCTTAAAAAAATAAAAGTAGATCTCAAAAACAAACAGATTTGTGGTTATAAGAGGCCATGAAGGGCATAGAGGAGAAAAGATGAAACGAAGTTGATTAATGGATATAAACACATGAGTTGCTAGAAGAAATAAGACCTACTGTTAGATAGATCAGCAAGGTTACTACAGTTTACAATAATCTATTGCATGTTTCAAAATAGCTAGAAGAATGGAAATGGTTTTATCATAAAGAAAAGACAAACATTTATGGCAAGATGTCCCAGGAACACTGATTTGATCTTTACAAATTACACGAATGTATTAAATAATTGTGTGTATCCCCAAACTATGTACATGTGTTATACATCAACTGTAAAAAAAAAAAAAAAGAATCAAGTGATTATAATTTGAGTTCAGTAGATTATCATGTACACCAGGGAAAACTGTAATATCTACATTTCTTACTATTTACACATTATCTTATTAAATAGAGCTCAGTTACTATGTCAAATCTTCATTGAAGCTAGAACTTATTACGTAGAATTATAATAATAATGTGGAGAATAAGCTTTGTTGTGCAGACTTTTAGACTATAGCCTTAACATGAGCTGAAAACAAGGATAAAAAGTATTCATTATTTTTCACCAAACACACAAAGTATGGACTACTCTTATTCCAAAAAGTAAATATTTTTCACATTTTACTAATAGCTTACACAAAATTAGTTGCTGGCCACAATCTTTCAGATATCTCTAGCCTTACTTTAAATATGTGCAATTATAAAAGAGTCGTGTGGCTGAAAATAAAACAAAAACTTCACAAATAACAAATCAGTGAAAATCCTTATTCTTATTTGATTAAAGATAGATTTCATTTTAAAGGAAAAAAGAACACTACCCTATAACATTTAGAAAAAATGATTTTTATTGTAAAATTTTTTACTTTTTCAAAATATTCAAACTTCCAACTCTCCATGAGGTTATATGGGTATTGAGAGACTTATAATATCATAAAATGAATAAGCTCCTCAACAATTTGTTTTTAAAGCATATAACTAAACTGCATAACATTTTATTTATTTTTATGATATCTCTCTAGTCTATGTATAATCAATTTTTAAAAAGAACTGTAAAAGCTAGTATCTAGTATTTTCTCCATTTTCCTTTCTTTAGCAGTTATTGAGTTTTAGCCTACTATGCAGAGACAGACACACAGATAATATTGTAGTATACTTCACTTGGGTGGTTTTTCCTTTTTAATTTACATTTATTCATTCATTTGACATATGTTTTTTAGTGCCACATTTCATGTGTCATACACTGTAATAAGTATGAGAAGTCTTTTAGCTTCTATAAAGTTATGGTTCAATTAATAAACATTTCACATATCAGTAGAACATTTTTGCATGGGTAGAACCTTTAGCAAATTTCAAAACTTATCATATGGGTGACTATCAATTCTGCCAGCCTTTTCCATTCATAATTTCATAATAATCTGTAGCTAATAACCGATATTCTTTCAACAAATATTGTAGAAACATTTTCTATCTTTTGTTTAGCATTAAATGAACTATGGCCTAGCACTTGTATATAAGCTCCATAAACACAAAAAAATAAGACTTAAATGAATTTCAACATCCAAACTAAAGCCATGAGAATTGCCAAGTCCTTCAAAGAGCTAAAAAGCTTCTCTGAAAAATGATGACACAAATGATTCATCTGAGGTGGATGATACTTGAAGACAGAAGCTTTTATCAACCCTTAGATCATCCTAATATACTCTAAGTGTCACAAAATAAGTAGAACTTTAACTTACAGTAAAGAGCTATAGAACACAGCTTTCAGGGAGGTCTCATTTCAAGAGTATTATTTATTAAAACTATTACACCCATTAGACCCTAGCCTTGTATGAATATTTGCCTACATTTACTTCTACACATGTATATTCAATTCTAGAATCAATTGAGACCCACACATTATTGTATTACCCTAGGATCTCAAATTATCTAATAAAACCTTAAAAGAATTTAAGCTATGAACCAATGTAACAATCAAAATTGTAGAACACATCTATTGCATATCTTCAATATGACAGTATATTTACAAATTTCAGTTTTGATGAATATTGACTGGAATAATGAAAATGTGATGCATAAAATTGGTTTGGAAGTGAGTTTCCATTTAATGCTTGAATTCCTTCTATAATAATTCAAACAAATAAATGCTCATAAAATTATAAAGAACATCATAGGCAGAAATGCTTTGGGAACCCAAGGAGGGGTTTATTCAGCAAACTTTTAAAAATCTCTTCTGAAATCAATAAAAGTCCCACTTTACAAGAAAAGTTTTCCTTTAATGAGAGCCTGAAGCTCATGAGTAACAAGTTAAAAATAGGGAAAACTACAAAAAAGTTGCTTTGAATCAATAGCCCCCTAGGTCTTTAGGCAGTTCAAGTTCCAGAGAGTTTTTCAATCACACTTAAGAGACTTTAAAGAATCATCTATAGTCTCTTTTAAAGATTTGTATGTATTTTTTAAAACAACAATAACTCAACTGTAAATAAACTTTCAAAATTACAAGAATTTGTCTTCATAACTCACTACAACCTTCATATTTTTAAAAATCCAATCTCTCAATTTCAGATAAAGAAGTGGAAGACTAGTCATTAGTAGTTGTTTTCAAAGTCTGCTTATCTTTGATACAATATGTGAAATGAAAATAAAGAAAATAACTCTGTTCAATACTAGCTCTTTGTTTTTGTATTTAAATGAATGCAAAATAATGAAAATCGATGTGCTGCTGTCAACATTTATGCACAAGACTCACCAGGTTCTTTCAGAAGTTCCGAGGTAGAGGTCCCAGGTCGTAAGTAAAGATGGACAGGAAAGGGAGAGAGTGATTCCAACATTCTGTTTCCAAAACATGAAGGTAGATCTTTAAGTGATTTAATAATCCCTATTTTGTAATACAAATCTTCAACACTAAAATTATAGGACTAAATGCTAATCACAGGAAACCACTTGTCCTTGTCAATAGGCCTACACCTGTTGTTCCCTCAGTGCATTGCAGAGTAAATATTATTAAACAAAGACAGAGTGGTAACAAATTTTGTTGGTTCTGAGATGAATAACAAATAGGAACGTTTGCTTTCCAAATGAGCCCAAACTAGCAAAAAACAGGAAAATGAACGAGCATCATATCTGTCTATTTCTTCAGTGATTTACAAAAGATTTTTTAAGTAGCATGTTTTTCTAACATGATTTGGAGAGCTTCAATCCCAACAGCTGAATAAAGTCAATTACTACTTAGAAACCTTGGAAAATGTGAATAAGCAAAAAGAAAGAAAATTAAAATCTTCTCTAATCCTATCATCCTAATATTTTAGTAATAATTGCAAACCCTTCAATGCTTCCTAAAGGCCAGCATTTAAGGCACTATTCTAATCCCTTTTATATGTTTTACCTGATTTATTCCTCAAAACAAGCATGTAGGTATTTACTATTATGATATTCATCGTAAAAACAAAGAAACTAAGACATTTGGGGATTAGGTAGCATATCATTCAGATTATTCCAGCTAGAAATGGGTGGGTCAGGATTCAAATGCAGGCAGTAGTACTTCAGAATCCATATTACTATTTCATATTGATTTTATTTGTCATGTCATGATTAGCATGTTAAATATATTTCATACCTTTTCTATGTTTAAGTGTACAAAAATGCATATGAACTTTTAACCTATTATTTTGTACCTAATATATCATGGAGATCTTTATAAATGTACAAAGTTATATGTTGTTATTTTGGCTCATTACATAGAATTCCATGTTATTTTGGCCCATTACATAAAAATCGATTGTATGATTTTATTATACTGATGGCTTATTTACCAGTCTCCTTCTGTGGGATATTTACTTTCTTGTTGTTTCTATACAAGGATGAAAATCTTTTAACATTCGTATTTGTGCACCTGTCCAATTATTTCCTTGGGTTACTATAAAGGCCTAGAAATGAAAATGTTGGTTCAAAAAATGATATAAATCTTATGTAAATTTCCAGAAGTTTAAAACCTTTGCCCAGAAAAAAAGCATGGTGTATAAAGGAGGAGACTGTTCAGAGATTTACATTTGGCACATAGTAGGCACTCAGTAAATAAATAACAATAGGATCTATTAACTTAACTGTCACTCATGTGGTCATGCCCATGGAGTTGACCAAAAGACTGAGATATCCCTTAAATTGTATCAAGGGAAAATAGAGAGCCTTGAGTATGGCAATCAGTTTTATAAAATTCCATTTGAAATTCTAGAATATTTTTATATATCACGAAGAATGGTGCCAAGTTTTATTGATCAGGCATAATTTCCTTTGTTTTCTAATATCTGGTCCATACATTAGTATTATTTAATCTCCAAGTTAGAACTAATTATGTATTTTCAATTATTCACCATTAATAAAAGATTCTAATGGAAATAGACCATTCAACCACTTAAGCAAAATATTTTACAAATATTAAGATGAAATAGCAGTTGTTTCAACACAAATGTGAAATGCCATGAGGGATTCTATCATTATTTTTTAACATCCTCATTCTGTTACTAATTAAACTGATCAAAATAACCTAAACATGTCACATAACACAGGAAACCCACTGATCACAAAACTAGGTGAAGAAGTCCAGGCTCACTTGACTGAATTACAGAATGCATTTACTGAAATACAATTGTCATACTTTTAAATGAACCAAATAATATCAACTAAAAATTAGCACCAGTAAATAACTGATTAGTAAATGGAAATTTGGATGGGAAATTAAAATTTAGAATAAACCCATATCTATCATCATCATAAAAAGAGTATTAACGTAGGACAATCTTTGAACTTAGAATTCAAAGGTACGTTGAAGAACTTTACTTTCTTAAACTTATATTGAAATTGTAGAAGTATTAAATTGTGTTTTCCCTTCATGGGTCAAAAATAGACAGTTTAGAAAAAGGAAGAAATCATATATTTATAAAATTCAATCATGTTCATATTTTGCTCAAGGACATTTCTTTTGTTGGGTCAATATTTCAATAGTCAACCCAAAAATATTATAGTTGTCTTAACAATCAGTATTTTCTCAGGCATCTTCAGGATAATTTTAAGTTGTTTATATACAGCTTTTCTTATAGGGGGTCTATTTAACTTAAACAAAAACCTTTTGGGAGTTTCATGAAGAGTTGAGTCATTCATACTAATTAGTTCTACAGACTGTCCCTGCATTGTTAACAATCTCCTACCTAATTTCCCAACTGATTCTATTATCTTTTCTTCTGCTTATATTCTCACTGCTGTTTCCTTATCTTCATCATGTGGTAAACCAGATTTCCAAAAAAAAAAATTGGTCTAGTGACGTTTTATTTGTCTAGTTAAGCACAGGTTTCAAAAAATCCTTAGTCACTACATCCCAAAACACTTGTCTTTCCCACTGCATTCCCATCACACTTTTAACATTAATGAAATTAAGCTAACTGCTAAAGTAAGAAAGAAGTTATCACCATCAACTAGCTATAAATAAAGACAAGGCAGCCCAGGTGTATTGAAGTTCAGGCTTTATATGCCCTGGGTTGTCATTGGAAGTACATGCACTTGCTCTTAATTTCAAAGGGTGTAGATCTTCCTCATTAAGCAGGACAGGTTTTCATTAAAAATGGGAAATTAGGGTGTCAAGGGACCTTTATCTTCTACCAGTTGCAGAAGAAACAATTCTTTGGGAAATATTCAACTCTCTTGAGAAAGACATTATCCTGAAATATATTATACCTGATCAGAAGATAAGTGTTTCACTTGTTCCTAAAACATTATTATTTTGCTATGGCTTACCAGCCTCATCTAAATATACTGAAAATGATTTTCAAATGAATTCAGTTAATCTTTTCAGTTAGTAAATATTGACTTGAAATTCTAAACAATTTGGCTAAATTGCTGTGTTAACTACTCTTTTAGGAGCTACCACTCTGCCAGACCAACTTGGATCTTGAGTTAAAATGGATAACTCAAAGGCAGAAAAGAAATTTACTAAAACTGGTAAATTTCTAATACAGTAATTTATTTTCTTTGAATTATTATCTTCCCTTATCTTGGGTATAACCAAATCTTCAGTATTAAGGTTGTGCATATATTTCATTCTTTCAGATTTGAGTACTGCATTACACTTAAGCCAAGAAAGTGGTTACCATGAGCATGGATCTTCTAGTATTAAGCACACAGTTCACAACTTAAATGTTGGAAGACCCACAAAGTTCTTTGTAGCCTTGCCAGCATTTCCTCAACTAACTTATGGCTGTGTCAATTACCCCAAATTTCTGACCATGTCATAATATTAATGAATTATTGTAAAACAAGCCACTGAAAAGTACATTTTAGCAGAGACGCATTTACTGTCTATAAGTATAAATGTTCTTACAAAATATGTGCTGAAGGGCTTAGAGGTTCTGTCTGTAGCTTCAGGGCCAACTACTGTGTATGTAATTTTAAAGTTATCTTGAAGACTATTATGCTATTTCACGCAATAATTAGGAAAAGGAACTGACCCATCTCCAGACACTTTTGGAAAGCAGAGGCAATGCTCAAAATTCCTGTATTCAAACTATGTTCTGTAAAAACAGCCTCACCTTCTGTTAGAAAAAGACTAACCTTTAATTATTAGATTTAGAAAGGAAAATTATAACTTACTCTGCTCCATAATTGCTGCAGATGAGTTATTAAAATTCTAAACTTATGTAATATTATCATAAAATATGGCATTTTTTCCTCAGGAAAGCCACAAATTGGATTCAAGCTTATGCACTGTAAAACCCAGATGGTTTACTTAACTACTCAGACATCCTTCAGTTCAAAAGTTAACTGAACTGAAAACTAACATTTTGAAAATTGATATGCTTTGAGGAGCTCAAGCAGAACAATAAATTAGCTTCACGTATGGGGTGTTAAGAGATAGACTTGAGAGGCCATGACAATTGTTCAGGGATTATTGGCAAATTAGAAGAGAATATACAGTTTCTATAGGTTAGCTAATTATACATTACCTGGACTCCTCAAAGTGCTGGTGCTTTGCTGTCTCCATTTTCTTACTCACTGGTTCAATATTAGTCATGATTTTGTCCAGTTTAACTTGTCCTGAAATGTTTTTTAAGTTTTACTTCCATAGTATTAGTTTTCAAATTATAAATGCATTTTTCAAATTCAATTGCAAATCACAAATTTTTCTTAAAAAGAGCTGTACTAACACAGAGATACTAAAAAACACAATTGAGCAGTTTTCTTCACTCCATGCTACTCAGATACTTTGCAATTACTAAACTTTAGGACTGAAAAGTACAATGCAAATGAACTGCATATATCAAAAAGGAGATTGCTCTCAGAGAAATGGCTGTAACAGCATAGCACATACGGATGAATAAAAACAACCTCATTTATACATATCAGTATTATTATAATCATTGTCATCACAAAGCTTATTTTTTACAGAAGGGGCTGTTACTTTAAAATAATTTGGAAAATCATTAGTTCCTGTAAATAGGAACACTGAGTGCTCCAAAAATCTCATTATTTGATAGAGTAAGACTAAATTCCACAAAAGGCAAAGGTTCTACATTTAAAAAATCGAATTGGAGAGACACAAGATGGCCAAATAGGAATAGCTCTGGAGTACAATTCCCAGCAAGAACAACACAGAGGGTGAGTGATCACTGCATTTCCAAAAGAGTTTTTACTGCCCACAGACCAGGAGATTCTCAGGCTGAAAAGTGCCACAAGTTTCCAGCATGGCTGCTTCAGCTGGCACCATGGGTATCCGCACTAAAACTCACACAAATCTGGGTAGCCATTTCAACCAACACCTGGAACTCCTGGGAGACAGAGCCGCTTATTCCACTGAAAAAGAGAGGGCTGAAACAGTGAGCCAGGAGATCTGGCTAAGCAGGTCCCACCCCTACAAAGATCAGTAATCTAAAACACTCTAGATTGAGAGTTTTGCAGAATGCACAGCTGGACCCGGGATGGTCCAGTATGGTGTGGGGAAGGATGTCCACCATTACCAAGACAGTCCACCACTAGGGAGGCGGTCCACCATTACTTAGGCAGTCTGCCATTACTGAGGCAGACTTCCATTACGGAGGCAGTTCTAACTGTACCTCTGTAAACAAAACCACAAGGAAGTTTACACAGCAACTGGACAGAGCCCATGGCAGCTCAGCAATGCCTCTGACTAGACTACTTCCTGGCTGGGCATGGCATCTCTGAAAAATGGCAGCAGCACATCAGGAACTTATAAATAAAGCCCCAACTTCCCAGGACAGAGCACCTGGGGAAAGGCAGTTATGAATGCTGCTGCAGAGACTTAAACATACCTGCCCAGAAGCTCTGAATGGAATAACGGAGCTCCCAGCACAGCACTTGAGCTTCTATAAGGGACAGACTGTCTCCTCAAGCAGCTCCTGACCCCCATATATTCAAAGAGACACCTCATAGAAGAGAGGTCAGGCTCACATCTGGTGGGTACCCTTCTGAAAAAAAGATAACAAAAGAAGAAACCGGCAGCAACTCTTACTGTTCCGCAGTTGCAACAGATGATCCCCAGGCACACAGGCTCTGGAAAGGACCTCCAGCCATCCTACAGCAGTGGGGCCTGACTGTTAGAAGGAAAACTAAAAAACAGGAAGAAATAGCTTCAACATTAACAAAAACAACATCCAGTCAGAGACCCCATCTGAAAGTCACCAACTACAAAGACCACAGGTAGATAAATCCACAAAGATGGGAAGAAAACAGTCCAAAAAGGATGAAAACACCAAAAAACAGAATAGGTCACCCCCTCCAAGGGATCACAACTTCTCACCAGCAAGGGAACAAAGCTGGATGGAGAACGAGTCTGATGAATTGACAGAAACAGGCTTCAGAAGGTGGGTAATAACGAACTTCTCTGAGCTAAAAGAACATGATCTAACCCAATGCAAAGAAACTAAGAACCTTGAAAAAAGGTTAGATGAAATGCTAACTAGAATAAACCGCTTAGAGAAGAATACAAATGACTTGATGGAGCTGAAAAACACAGCATGAGAATTTCACAAAGCATACACAAGTTTCAATAGCTGAATCGACCAAGCAGAATAAAGAATATCAGAGATTAAAGTTCAACTCAATGAAATAAAATGAGAAGGCAATATTAAAGAAAAAAGAGTGAAAAGAAATGAACAAAGCCTCCAAGAAATAAGGGATTATGTTAAAAGACCTAATCTATGTTTGATAGGTGTACCTGAATGTCACAGAGAGAATGAATCGATGCTGGAAAACACTCTTCAGGATATTATCCAGGAGAATTTCCCCAGCCTAGCAAAGCAGGACAACATTCAAGTCCAGGAAATACAGAGAACACCACAAAGATATTCCTCAAGAAGAGCAATCACAAGACAAATAATCATCAGATTCACCAGGGTTGAAATGAATGAAAAAGTACTAAGGGCAGCCAGAGAGAAAAGTCAGGTTACCCACAAAGGGAAGCCCATCAGATTCACAGTGGATCTCTTGGCAGAAACCCTACAAGCCAGAAAAGATTGGGGCCAATATTCAACATCATTAAAGAAAAGAGATTTCAACCTAGAATTTCATATCTAGCCAACTAAGCTTCATAAGCAAAGAAGAAACAAAATCCTTTACAAACAAGCAATTGCTGAGAGATTTCGTCACCACCAGGACTGCCTTACAAGGTCTCCTGAAAGCACTAAACATGCAGAGGAACAACGAGTACCAGCCACTCCAAAAACATACTCAATGGTAAAGACCATCAACACAATAGAGAAACTGCGTCACCTCATGGGCAAAAGAACCAGCTAGCATCAAAATGGCAGGATCAAATTTACACATAACAATATTAACCATAAATGTAAATGGCTAAATGCTCCAATCAAAAGATACAGACTGGCAAATTGGATAAAAAGTCAAGACCTATCAGTGTGCTGCATTCAGGAAATCCACCTCACATGAAAGTACACACATAGGCTCAAGACAAAGGGATGGAAGAAGATTTACCAAAAATTGAGAGCAAAAAAAGCAGGAGTTATAATCAGAGTCTCTGATAAGATGGATGTTAAATCAACAAAGATTAAAAGAGACAAAGAAGGACATTACATAATAGAAAAAGGATCAATGCAACAAGAAGAGCTAACGATCCTAAATATATAGGTACCAAATACAGAAGTAGCCAATACATAAAGCAAGTTCTCAGAGACCTACTAAGACACTTAGAGTCCCACACAATAATAGTGGGAGACTTTAACACTCGCCTGTCAATATTAAACAGATCGAGACAAAAATTAACAGGGATATCCAGGACTTGAACTCAGATCTGGACTAAGCAGACCTAAAAGACATCCACAGAACTCTCCACCCCAAATCCACAGAATATACATTCTTCTCAGCACCACATCTCACCTACTCTAAAATTGACCACATAATTGGAAGTAAATCACTCCTCAGCAAATGCAAAAGAACAGAAATGGTAACAGTCTCTTAGACAACAGTGCAATCAAATTAGAACTCAGGATTAAGAAGTTAACTCAGAACTGCACAACTTCATGGAAAGTAAACAACTGTCTCCTGAATGTTGACTAGATAAACAATGAAATGAAGGCAGAAATAAAGATGTTCTCTGAAACCAAGCAAAATGAAGACACAAGGTACCAGAATCTCTGAGACAGATTTAAAGCAGTCTTCAGAGGAAAATTTATGGCAATAAATGCCCACATGAGAAGTGGCAAACAATGTAAAATCAACACCCTATCATCAAAATTGAAAGAGCTAGAGGAGCAAGATAAAAAAATTCAAAAGCTAGCAGAAGACAAGAACTAACTAAGATCAGAGTAGAACTGAAGGAGATAGAGACATTAAAAAAAAACCTTGAAAAAAATCAATAAATCTAGGAGCTGGTTTTTTGAAAAGATCAACAAAATAGACAGACTGCTAATCAGATTAATAAAAAAGACAAGAGAGAATAATCAAATAGATGTAATAAAAACTGATAGAGGGAATATCACCACCAATTCCACAGAAATACAAACTACCATCAGAGACTACTACAAACAACTCTATGAACACACACTAGTAAACCTTGAAGAAATGGATAAATTCCTGGACATTTGCACCCTCCCAAGCCTAAATCAGAAAGAAGTTGAAACCCTGAATAGACCAATAGCAAACGCTGAGGTTGAGGCAGAAATTAATAGTCTACCAACCAAAAAAAATCCAGGTACAGATGGTTCACAGCCAAATTCTACCAGAAGTACAAAGAGGAACTGGTACCACTCCTTCTGAAACTATTCCAAACAATACAGAAGGATGGAATCCTTCACAAATTATTTTATGAGACCAATATTATCCTGATACCAAAACACAATAGAGACTCAACTGAAAAATAAAACTTCAGGACAATATCCATGATGAACATAGATGATAAATTCTTCAACAAAATAATGGCAAACTGATTACAATAGCACATCAAAAAGCTTATCCATCACAATCCCAGGGATACAAGGCTGGTTCGACATATACAAATTAATAAACATAATCCATCACATAAACAGAATCACTGTCAAAAAACACATTATTATCTCAATAGATGCAGAAAACGCCAACAACAAAATTTAACAGTGCTTTATGCTAAAAACGCTAATATCATTGTAACGTATCTCAAAATAATAAAAGCTATTTATGACAAACCCACAGCCAATATCATACTGAATGGGCAAAAACTGGAAGCATTCCCTTTGAAATCCAGCACTAGACAAGGATGCCCTCTCTCACCACTCCTATTCAATATAGTATTGGAAGTTCTAGCCAGAGCAATCAGGCAAGAAAAGGAAATACAGTGTATTCAATTAGGAAAGGAAGAAGTCAAATTGTGCCTATTTGCACACAATGTGATTGTATAATTAGAAAATCACATTATCTCTGCCCAAAATCACTTAAACTGATAAGCAACTTTAGCAAAGTTTCAGGATAAAAAATCAATGTGCAGAAATCACAAACATTATTATATGCCAATAACAGACTTAAGGAGAGCGAAATCCAGAGTGAACTAGCATTCACAATTGCTACAAAGATAATAAAATAGCTAGGAATAC